AATCACCCATAGTTGCAATAGCTATATATATATAGCCTAATGTAAAAAAACAGAGGATATCTTGATTGGGATCATAATTTTTCATGGCCAATGAAATGATTTCCTTTTTCGCCAGGGCAGAGTCTCTCTCGCCGAGTCCCAGACACAGGCGATGCTGTTCGGGGCGTCAAGATGCTTCAACTGAAATATGATGCTCTTGATATAGTAATATGATGTACCCTCTGGTTATGACTAACATAGCCATGGTATAGATGGCCCATAGAAATAGAATGAAATAGATGGTTTACCGTTCGCTATAAAATGGGTGGATTTTCCATGGCTATCTTGAATAACCAGAGGGTAATATGTATCAACCATGTCACTGCGATGTCGAATTATTCATAGATGCCCCGCCTAAGAACTATGTGTGTGGCCGAAAAAGCCGGAGGGTGAGCTTGACGCAAAGCCATGGGATTTTGCCCAGGGCCCATTTATTGGAATCATGGGATAAGAATGGGTTAATAATGGCAATGGATGAATAATGGTGAATGATGGATTAGTACTGCATTAATAATGGGTTAATAATGGAGTATAGTTTATTGATCGTTTATTAGATTCTGTAAGTGGGCACACTGCGAAACCACATTTTTCCTGCTGAGGCAGATTTATGATTGATAATGATTATTACCGGAATAGAATGGAAGCGTTCTGCGACCTCTATCTTCGGCTAGCTGCTCTAGCTGTTGGACCTCCATAGGGCATCGCAAAAATCTACAAGATGAGGCCCGTTGTGTCAATTGTGTGCATATCGGATAATATTGGTTTACAGACACATGAAAACTAGATGCATATAATATCTACCATAAACATCCATACCGTAGAATTCACCAACCGTGAACTTTAGACCAACTTGGCGATTTCGTAAACAAAAGCCTCGCCTTAACATGGTGCTCCTCCTCATTTTACCTCTGCCATTTTGGAGGCTCTTTTTTTTGGGACAAACCCACACATGCGGATGATGCTGCTGATGATGCTGATGCTGATGCTGATGCTGATGATGATGATGATGATGTTGATGTTCCAAAGGACTTGGTAGATCAAGCATTTGTCATCACGGCTAAGTTTGAAGCTTTCTATCCTAGGTCCTAGCTGTCCCAACGAGACTTTGCGGCTCCTGAGATACATGACAAGTTGAAAGTTGAAACCGACGCAATTGATCACAACTGCGCTTTGGTTCCCGGATTCATGGTGGAATGTGGAAGAACTGTCTGCAAATGGGGTGTATGCTTCCCAAATGGCAACTTGAATTGGAAAATGATGGATTAATCATTGACTCATGAATACTAGGGGTACCATATTTTCAAATATTTTCAAATACTAGGGGCAACCATCATTTAAATTGGAAAATGACTTATCATCAAATTTAGGGGTACCATATTTTCAATAAACGGCGAGATGGATGGCCCCGGTGGACGAGAAACAAAGACTAGATGGGTATGGATCAACACCTATTATCACCTATTACACCAACTTTTTTGGGGAAAGGAAGATCCCTTAGCCAGCTATTTTGGTCTTTACCTTCAGGGTTTTGATGGGTTTCATCTTTATCTGGGTCTGGGTCAGAATTGTTGGAGCCTAAAAATGATCATATATTTGGGTCCATAAGTATCCTGGCAAATGCCGAATAAATTGACCCATAGCGATATCAGATTCTCTTGGAAACGGACCATTCAGCTACACCAACCATTCGGAGTTGGACGAGTTGGATTGGTGTGGACGGACGATGGACGATGGACGATGGAGTACAGCAACTGCTCGCCAACACAACAGTGCCTGGGTTGCAAAGTGCTGGGCGCATTCTGATGTGAGGTTGCTACGGGCGCTACGGGGATGGAGATGATTGGGTTTTCATCATCCTGGGGCAAGTTGGCACCAAATTTTGGGAGTTGAATGGATTTGAGCAGTAGATGGTCAATTTTCCAGCATACCAAGTATGGGACGACCAATGGAGAAAATAATTCTTAAAAAACGTCAGCTCAACCAGTGGAACCATCACTGATTTTAAGTCCCCAGCGGTTTCAGTGTGACCATTTTGGACAAAAATAGGGACAGATGAGACCGAATGTGTATCCAAGTATGTAGCAAGTATTTCCAAGTATTTTCATTCAAAGGCCCCCTGGCCCTGATGCTATTCAGCTTTGCAAAGGTCAGAGGCAATTTGGCTACGAACAGGCAACAAAATGCATTGAGGTAGCCCAAAATCGTAAATATTGGTCATATTTTAATTCAAAGTAAAATTACTTTACTTCGTGTGATCCCCACCATGACATTTACACATGTTCTTACTGGCACATCTTCTGGCATTCTATCTGACATATCTTCTGACATTCTATTTGGCATATCTTCTGGCATATATTCTGACATATCTTCTGGCATTCTATCTGGCATTCTATCTGGCATATCTTCTGGCATATATTCTGACATATCTTCTGGCATATCTTCTGGCATTCTATCTGGCATTCTATCTGGCATATCTTCTGGCATATATTCTGACATATCTTCTGGCATTCTATCTGGCATTCTATCTGGCATATCTTCTAGAATATCTTCTGGCATATCTATCTGGCATATCTTCTGGCATATTTTCTGGCATTCTACCTGGCAAATCTTCTGGCACTCTATCTGACATTTTATCTTCCTACATGAGGTCCGGCAGGGAACACTTGGCGTGGATACTCGCGGTTAAGGTCCGGCAGGGAACACTGGGCGTGGATGGTCGTGGTTGAGGTCCGGCAGGGAACACTGGGCGTGGATGGTCGTGGTTGAGGTCCGGCAGGGAACACTGGGCGTGGATGGTCGTGGTTGAGGTCCGGCAGAGAACACTGTGGATCGCGGGTCACAGTTGGGCAAGGACGACGAGGACGACGAGGACGACGAGGACGACGAGGACGACAAGGACGACAAGGATGACAAGGAGGACGAGGAGGACGAGGAGGAGAGGAGGAGGAGGAGGAGAGGAGGACGAGGCAGGAGGAGGAGGCAACTGACATAAAATCTAACAACCCTCACCTGGCAGGTGGGGAAAAACACATGTTTCTTTTTTTAATCATATTTTTTTTTTGCCGATTTTTTGCTTCCAATACTACTTTTAGAAGGGGGCAGGGCACCCTTCTGCTCAACGACCTCGTCCAACACCCCACAACGCAGTTTTTTTTCATTTTTTTTGGGCCCAATTCCATCAATTTGAAAATATCATAAAACAAGATAAATCAAAATAATTTAGCAAACAAACTCTGATTAGCACCCCTTTGAATAGAGCCCCAGAGATGGAGAAAGATATTTCTCACCCAAGCTGGACTTGTACCACATATACCAAAGATGTATTCCAAAATGGCATCTTTTTTTAGCGGTTCATTTGTATTCCATCTTTAAGCATCTTTGGCATTTTGCGAATCCTCCAAACTTGGGCGGCAACGAGGCTACTGGTTTCAGCCTATGGCTCGCTGGAAAATCTACCAGCGAACTAAACCTCCATTTAGTTCCAGGAATAACCACGTTTGGTGACCCTGGATTGCATGGGTTACAACAACTCAGTCGTTTCTTTATCGAGAGTGTGGCCCCAAATGCCAGTCACAACTCTTTCCATCCACCTATTCATTGAGTCCAGGAGTCATCATTTGTTTTGACATGACTAGGCCAGGCAGTCACAAGGTGATTCAACATCCGCTATTTTGATAGAATTGATAGAAATCCATATCATGTAGTGGTGGTCTAAATCCCAATTGTTCCTTCAACCCTCATTCACATCATCTCACATCTCATTTTTTTCAATTGAATCCTCGGGTTCCCTGGCTTCGTTCTACATTTCTTATCAGTTTTCCTAATTTGCATCTTCAGTTGATTCACATCTTCACATCCTGCGTTATTCATTCCCCCATCCCTATGGGTTTGGAGGCCCACAAATCATCCCTCCAAAATCTTGGAATCTCCAAGCACAACGAATTGAAAAGTGAAAACCCATGAGTTCTTCATGGTGAAATCCCCATTTCAGGCTGCTTACATCAGATTGCCTCTCTCTCTCTCTCTGTACAGTGATACATACTGTATATACAAATATATATATATAAATATATATTTAGATATACATACATACATACATACATACATACATACATACATACATACATACATACATACATACATACATACATACATACATACATACATACATACATGACATACATACATGACATACATGCATACATACATACGTACGTATAAATGCATACAATAAACACACATACATACATACATACATACATACATACATACATACATACATACATACATACATACATACATACATACATACATACATACATACATACATGTATCATCTATGAGTATGTATGATACATTAATAGCATATCTTCCATATCCTCCAACCACCTGGAGCCTCGAAAGGTGCGTCTGCGCCCCAGCTGGTTGACCGATGCTGGCGTCGACGCCTCGACGCTGCTGCAGCGCCTGCTGGCGGCAGATCTGCGCGATGCCTGCGAGGGCTCCCTGCCGGCGGCGCTGGAGAGGCAGCACAACGTGCAGCTCGAGGGGTAGCTTGGGCGAAACAGGCTGAAACCATGGGAAAATCCATGATGTCATGGGGGAAACATGGGAAAAACCATGGGAAAAGCAAAAAAAAACGCAACCATGGGTGTCTCAGGCGCTGGGAGCGAAACCCAGGGCTGAGCAGGGCTCAGGCAGATGAGTTTGGGATAAAGTCAGAATGACTTCAGGTCGTGACGTCACCAGAATGATGGGAATTGGATGGGAATCATCCACAAATGGCCGTATGAGAACAACTTGTTTCAAGTTAGTGACTTAGTGAACAGTAATTCTGCTAGATAGTCAAATAAATCTTCAAACAACAGTGAGATTTGAGCTATACTGATGGCAACAGCATGGAATGTATGACCAGTAATATGATATTTTGGAGGGTCTGAAACTGGAATGTTCGCCCCCGCATGGGCCGTTTGGGAAGAATGATGCAAGGTGAGGTATGGAGGTTTACTAAAATGGGGGATCCTCAAAACCATAGGTTTCAATACTAGAATGATGATTTGGGGGTACAGACATGACTTAGAAAACCTCCATATGGAGGTTTTCTAAGTCATGGGGGCACCCTATTTAAAATTCCATTTTTATTTCGGATTTTCATGGATTTTCCCTAAACCATCCAGCTATTGGGGTACCCCCATGACTCTGGAAATCCACTTCCTCATCACTGGGTTTAACCAACTAACCTACCACTGGGAAGTCCTTACCAACTGGCCACTTCCCAAGGCAGCACTTGGTGCAGATCCTGGAGATGGTCGACATCGCCAATCCTAGCGCACAGGATCCAGGTGTGATGACCAGATGGTAAATATTCGAAAAATAACAAGAAATATCTAAATTATGATGTATAATATGTATATATATAATAATACATATTATACATTATATATATATTATATAATATTTTTTTATACATATATAATCATATATATTATATAATATTATATATACACTATATATATATATATATGCACGGTGTATATATACATATATATATACTATATGTATATATATATATACTACTGTATATGTATATGTATATATACTATATGTATATGTATATATATATATTTACGAATTTAGTGGGGATTCCATCGAACAAATGTCGTTTGACCTTCAACAAATGCGGAATTAATGGGATGCCATTGATTTTGTCATCTGGTAATTTAACATAACTATGGACAATCACCACTGTAGAAACCGGTAAATCATCTATACAAATGGGCAATTTTCCATAGCAACCTGTCCAATGACCAGAGGTATATGTTTATATGACCAGCAATATGAGATAGGGTTTCTTCTATATAATCCAACCAACAATATGAAATGAGGGAATCCCCAATTTATCACAATTCAATAAGGGAAATCCTCATAAATCAGCCACTTTGGCAGATTTTGCTGGCAAAAACGTGGTGAACCAGGAAACATTAGGAAATTCCACTGGTAAACTCGTAAATTTCGATACCAAAATTAGGCGATTTATGGCAGATGAAATGGCCCATTTTGCCACAAGATGGTGATGCAAATAGTGGATTAGAGATGGACATGCCCTAAAAAATATGTTAGTCCAGTAGAAGTTGGTGCCCCCTTACCCAAGTTAAGTTTATAGCCTCCCAGTTCTTGTACTTCAGTATAATATGTCTACATATGTATATATATATATAGATATGTAATATGTATATCACAAAAAGCCTAGTCATGAGACTCAGAAACCAAGTTTTTTCATCCCATGAAATCATCAATTTTTTGCCCGTGGGAGATCGCAGATCTCCTAGCTTTTGGGGGTTGAACAAACAAAAGTCCACCAGTTTTTCATGTAGTCACTTCATGAGAGTTATCATACTTGGACATGCATTCCAGTTGCTATGTGGTAATCAGGACCATGCTTACAACCCAGTCATGCAGGGGATGTATGGATGCTCATCAATTTATTTCTATAATTGGATGTTTTTTTTTACCCCCATGAACTAGTTTGATTTATATAATTATATATCTGGTTGGTGGTTTGGAACATTTTTCATTTTTCCATATATTGGGAATAATAATCCCGACTGACTAATATTTTCAGAGGGGTTGAAACCCCAACCAGATATATAGACTATATAAACCTTAGTTGGCCTAGTCATAAACCAACATTTATCCAACAAAAATCTGCGCATCTGCCGTCCCGCCCTGTCCCGCAGGAGAAGAAGAGGTCGACGACGCTCAGTCGACTGTGGAGCGTCGGCCGCGGCGGCAGAAGATGTTGAAGGACGGCGGTCAAGGGGGGAGATTTCAGCAATGAAAATGGGGCAAATCAGCACTTGGAGGATCACATCATATGGGTATGGGTCAAAATTAGGTACCCCAATAATTGGATGGTTAATACTAAACTAAACTAACATCTGTGGTCCCCTAGGTCTTCCATTTTGACCCACATCCATATCCATGTACAATATAATAGGATAATCAATAGAATAACCAATTGCTTACCCATGTGCTATAAGTTTCCCCAGTTGTCAATAGGATAACCAGCCCAGGGGACTTCTGAAGCAGGGCTCTTAACTACTAAATGGGAGGATCCTCCAAGCACCAAACAATAGGAAAACGACCCTCTTGCCATAATCTTGCCATAATCTTGTACTGGTTGGTGGCAACTGGTGGTTTTCCTTAGTGGCAACTGGTGGTTTGTGCCTTGTTCCCAGAGAAATTTTCCAATAAGAAGATGGGATGATACCATCCGAGAAAACGCTCCAAATAGGACGCTTAAAAAAAAGATGCTGGCTTTCATGGGGAATATATCGATTGTTGGGGACATCATCTCGTATACATTTCGGATATATATATGTATATACATACATATGCACACACACATAATATGTATATATATATATACTATACATATATATTTGTACATATATATAATATTATCAACATGTACTGTTTGTATACATGTATCCATGATAATCCTTTCCAATTTGGGTTATCTGATGTCCAGATTCATGTCCATGTTGTATCATCATTGGTCTTCCCATTGAGCATGGCCAATGACGTGAATGATACGGCAACTTTGGGTCCCCCACGACGGCCCGGGAACCGTCACAAGAATCTCCATGTTGTCTACTATTATATGATATCCCTCCAATCCCAAACAAATCATTTTACATTCGCACTGTGAATCTCAATATCGATGTTTATATGGCATATATCACATCCACACACATATTTAGTACTAATGATTTAGTATTTTGTATCTATAGATGAGTATGTGTATATATATATATACACATTATATAGACATACATCATACTGACATATGGCAACCAGCCAAAAGATAGAACAGTGAATTATAACGTTTTTAGTCAGATTTACTTTGCTATCCTTTCGGGGGTTGCTATAATATCATATGTCCCCTTCCAAATGGAATCGTGGCTTTACTTCAGTTATTTTCAGCTTAGTGAAATAGGATCGTCATTCACATATATCAATCTATATAACCTTCATATTCCCATGATAACATCAACATCTTTCTTTTGATAGCCATATACATCCACGGGTAAAGGGATAATCATCTTATACCCCACCATACCCCTAGCTGTATATGTTGTTCCCCCATTTTTTCCCACTATTCCCACTATAAATGGAGGTTTCAATGAGAAAATATGCACCATAAACATCCATAAACCACCGGTCGCTGACATTTTAGGTCTGTTTCACCGACGGTGCCCAAGCGGTCTGCGGCATCGAGCGCCGGCCCATCGCGCAACTGCGTGCGGCGGTGCCAGGCGCGGCGCGCAGAAGTAAAGTATGCTTTACCGGTGAATGCGTAGTTTTTTTTTGAATAGGTGGTATTTTCAGGTAATATAGTGATTGATAGTGTTTTAATAGGTGGCTCTTGATAGGTTGTATGTTTTTTTCCTTATTAGGAGGTATGTTAGGTAAATGGTAAACTTACATCCTTTAATAATACTTGATATCAATACATATAAGATCATCAGAACAATAGATGATCATCTTCATAGTAACAATAATGATAACAATGATGTCGTTATATTGGCTGTAATGTGGGTAAACGAATTTCATAAACCATCCCCCAGTTGTCAGCATTTTTATAGGTTGTATGGTTAACATTCCCAAATGGGCGGTAAACATGGCATTGTTTTACCAACATCACAGCTTTTCTACTAGTCATAGCTTCTAGATACACTTAGAATCATAGTGATTTTGGCACTTTAGATTTCGAATATGGATTATATGACTTTGACATCAGAGAATATGGATATATATGGATTTTTTCTGAGTGTATTAACATGTATTAACATAGGCTTAGGTACTAGTTCCTCATCATTTAATAGTATGACTGAATCTGGGTTTGCCTGAAAATCGTGTTTTTCCCTCAATCCATCGGATTAGATTTTGTGGGGCGTCAATGGCTATCCCGATTGGTTACATGGCCAGATCGCTAGAGGTTTATATACGACCCATTTTCAGACACCAAAAAACGCTTGATACGACAGGTTTCTCATCATTTGAATACTTTGAGGAGGTATATGAAAATTTATATGCTAAAACATACTAAAACCATTCGGAATGTGTACCATTCTGATTCCCATATTCCAAGTGCGTTCTGGGCGATCGCGCGGCCGCGGCCCATGGAAGACTTTGGCACAAAAAGGAGAGTTGACTCAGCAGAGATCGGATATTTATATTGTGGATTTATAATGATTTATACGTTTTTTATGGATTTATATGGGTCTACATGGATTTGTACGGATCTATATTTAGATTTTGACGATTTCTGATTTTTTTACAACATGAGGGAATTTGCCAAGCAAACATGTGGGTACAATTGGACATAAGCCAGTACAACTGGAGAAGAGCCAGGAAAGTTGCACTGATGACTGATCGGTGGTTTAGGATATTAGTAAAACCCAGCATCAGTTGTGGAATTAATTGACCCGCACATTTTTCAAAGGGGAGTGGTGCAACCACCAATTACAGTAGTTTTGTCCTTATTCTGTTTGTTTAACTTATGAAAATTCCATAAAATATCATTACACCCCCAAGTTATTTCCTCATTTGTTTGTGCAAACACACACTTTTCGCAATCATTTGTGTATTCCTTGGGGATTTTCAGGAGCGCCCTGGTCTTGGTGGTGTGGCCAAGGCACAAAGTTGCTGTTGGGCAATCGACCGCTACTGCGGCGTGGTTTGTGGCTTGGTTGGGGGATGGGTGTGGGGTAGGGCTTCACATCGGATGGAAGGTGTGCTGATCTTAGAAGGTTTTTGGGCCCCCAGTTACCCTCTGGTAATGGCTGACATAGCTATTGAAAATGGCTATTTATAGTGGATTTTCCCATTAAAAATGGTGATTTTCCATAGTTATGTTAGTTTACCAGAGGGTATGTGAATGTTGGTTTGTAAAGCCATAAATGGCCCATAGACTAACAAAAAAGATGATATATCTATCATAGAAGCAATGAAGAAACTAGATATATCACCTGGTGAACCTTAAACCAATTAGCTATCTACGGGGCCTCACCTTGTTCATTTCTCAGTTTCTTTTTCACACACGACCATCCAGTAGTCATCAAACATGGCCGGGAAATCCCTGCATTGGTGGATTTTCCAGCCTGGGTCAACCGTCAATGTCCGGAAAAGCCATGGGGAAAGCTGTCCGGAACATGATCTACATTGATCTAGTGGGGTTGCCGCATCTATGTTGCTTTGCCGGAGGGTCAGTTTCTGAAAAATGAAGTGGTAGCCCAGTCATGTTCCAATGCCTGGGTTGAAAATGTTGAAAATTCCAGGAAACACTTTCTTTGCAGACTGTATCCACGGTGAATTGGGGATGCACTTTCACCCTGGAAAAGTGGCCCAATGGTCAGTCCGTATTCAATTTGTCATGCCTTGTACTGAAAACTACTTGAAGATTTCAACGATATGAAAAGACAATCACAAAGAAACGACCTATGTACTTGTAGCAACCACCCAAAACATATAAGAAAACTAGCAGAATTTGACATGCGTATCTTTTCTTGGGTTGCATTTTTTTACTTCCCGGTGTTCAGGATAGGATTTTTCACCATCCATGGCCAATTTTTGCAGCTTCTAACAGCGCCAATCTTCCATGGGCAGGTATGTACATAGTGCACGGAATTCTACAGATACAAAAATACGTCTTGATTATATATATATAATATATACTTACATACATATCTTACACACGTCTACACAAATATACACAAATATATTACTAAGAACATGCATGTAAGATGCATGTGCAAATGTGAAGACGCGTTGAAACTCGAAACACTGGACCTTGGAGGTTGCTGTTGGAGCCCCAACACATGGAAGCCTTTGGAACAGTGCCCCAGGCTGGGGCATCCAGGGACTTTTATGGGAAGATGATGCAGGTCCTGCAAAACGTTGGGAAACATCTCCCGAAATCTTAAAAAAATGTTGTCAAAACCATGATTATACCATTCAAAAACAATTGAATCATTTTTAGATCCACTTTTCAGACACACCATACCAGAAGTCCAGAAGTCTGCCCAGACTCTGTTGTGAACATCGGGTGAGCCAACAGTGAAACCAAACCCTCTACTTGTATTGTCCCTGATGTCAATAAATGTCTACTTACAGGGCTATCCCGTTTGTAGATGCTCGACATCATCCACATCCCCATCGGGATGTAATGTGGCAATCTGAGAGAACATCCCATGTTTTTCCAAGTTGTTCAAGGTGTGAACCGTCTGGCTGTTCTACATTGCTATATCCTCTGATCATTTAGGTCTTTGTGATTTTGGCTGTAATGTGGGTAAAACAATGCCATGTTTACCACCCATGACTGGGAACGGCAACCATACCACCTATAAATTCTCCTCGTGATGACGGATGGTGAGGCTCCCATATCCGTTCAGGCGTTCAGTTGACCCACATAAATTGGTGCAAAGTTCACTCGGTGAATTCTATATAATTCTATGGTATAAACCAACTCATGTTCGTAAAGTAATAGTATATAGTAAACCATCCCCAAAATGTTCCTTTTTTATGGCTGGTAGAAACCATCAATCCATATGGGTGGTCAAAATGACATCGCTGGGCCTCACCCCACCAGGCGCCTGACGGCGGCGCGCCTGTGGCTGTGAACCCTGCGCCAGCTGCGCCGCCGCCGGGCCGTGCGCGGGAGGGCAGGGAGGCGGGCGAAAGTCATCCAGATATGGGAAATTCCGAACGGAAACATCCTGTGTGAATGGGTCAAAATTGAAGACCTAAGGAGGCCACAGATTGGCATGTCCATTTTTAGTATTAACCATCTACATGTCACTGTTGAGGTACCCAATTTTCATCCATGCCGATATTTCAACCTTGGGCTTAAACCATCAGCAAGGAGGATTTCACCAAAACTCATTACTGAGATGAGTTCACAAAAAGTCTGTCACTAATTGATGGAACAAATGGAACAAAACCGAAGCACTCGTGAGAAAAATATGGAACCGAAACGAAGGTAGAAGCCACTGGTGAAGCTGTTGCCACGTTGCCATGGCATATAATGGCGCCTCGAAGTGATGCTTCAAATTGTCCATTTAGTGTGGTATTGTTTAAATGTATTTTAGTGGGATATTGGACATTCTGACGTTTCTATAGAAAGTTGATTTCAACATGGTGTTCTTCCATTTGTGTAACAAAATAGACCTATGAACAACCATTCACTAGTCATTTCACTAGTATTTACTCGCCAGTCAGTACACATTCCTGTGAAACCTCATCGTTTGCCATGGACAATTTGTTTGCAGATGTTGCCTGTTCCATTGCGATGTGTTTGTTAGCAACTGGCATCTACCTTACAAAAGAGGAGGCTTCAAACAGCAAACACATTGTATATGAATCGACTGAACTGGTTCAGAACGGCGAACATATCCCAGTCAATTCTTCACAATTCGAAACCCGGTTACCCTCTGGTAAACTAACATAGCTATGGAAAATCACTATTTTTAATGGGTAAATCTACTATAAATGGCAATTTTCAATAGCTATGTTAGTTTACCAGATGGTAGACTTTTCAAGGGAACACGCTACTACTTCAATCGGGCACAAAACTGGCATCGCATTACTCGGATAGTCCCAGCGTCTCAGCACAGATCTGATCTTGCGGGTCATTTTGTGAACATGTGGGAATACTATTTGGGGATGCGGTGGAGGCTAAAAATGAGTATTACTATGGTTAATTATAGCAGGTTATAGCATGTTATAGCTTGTTATAGCCATCTTTTACTTAGGGTATAACCCCGGTAACCATTTTTTTTTAAATGATTTTCTATCCACTTATAATTAGACCTGCAGCCCCAAGGATCGTCTAATTCATATCCAGCGAAACAAGAACAGTCTTTTTTTGCTGTCAATGGGGATGTTGTTGGGCTTGAAGGTCTAAAAAGGCTCAATTGTTTGGTCGGCTAAACGGCTGGGGAGTATCCTGGATGGTGATTTCCATGCTGGAAAAGGAAGGCCCCAAAGTGGGCCCCACAGTTATGTCACTTTCTTGGTTTTCTTCAAGTTCTAAAGATCCACCTCAAATCATCCAGCTCTTATTTTCTGAGAGCAACCAACTTTGAAAATTTCCCATGAAAATCCCATGAAATTCCATGACCTTGGGGGGGATCTCCATGAAATCCCATGAAATCCCATGAAATCTCCCAGAACATCGGCCAGGTGTTGCTCCGTTTCTACGTCATTCAGGCCTCTGTCGTCGCCGCCGCGGGCGCGGGCGCGTTGCGTCTCTCGTTGGGCGACGGCTTGGGGAGCTGTGAGGCCTTGTTGGCAGGGCCGCTGCTGCAGCAGCTGCTGGGGCAGGACGGGTGGAATGGGTAAAGCATGGAGGATTGGGCCATAGATATTCTTGGGATATGGTTGGGATGCTTGAGATGCCAAGAATATAATTCTAAATGATCTTGCTTATAAGCTTGGGAAGAGCGTGGATTATCAAGATATAAATGGATCCAGTCACCATAAATTTGACGGATTTATTGTGAATTGTGTGACCAATAGAGCATTTTCCAACCAGAAATGGTGGTACAACTGGATAAAGTTGGTCAGTTGGTACCTTGTTTTGAGCCCCGCATGATGAAACCTGGTTGGGTTGCATCATGAATTGGCAGGCTTGTGCTGATGAATTGCGAAGGAAAAGGGTTGATACAAAAGGGGGGCCAACTTGTTCAACCAGCCTCTCCAGCCGGATGCCATTTCGAGGAACAGTTATCTATTTTTTTGCGAATTTGAATGAAATGTCCCTCATCTCCCATCTTCAATCGGCAAATCATGCACATTTCTCCGATGTTTGTGAACAACGGTGTTTACCAGAAGACATCTTTTGACTTGGAGGTGCAGGAAAAGGGATATTACTGGGCATAGCCATTGTAATAACATGTAAGAATCATTATGAACTGGGATGTCACCCCTACTTTTCATTACTTTTCACTGGAACTGCACCCCCAAGGATTGATTCCCGTGAGTATCTCAATCATATTCCGTTTCAAGCTGTTCGTCCGCAGCCACTGGTCTTTTAGCCGACCTTGTGATTGGAGACGGCTGGACACAGCTCAACATGCAGCAAATTCGCATGGCTGATGCTGTCAAGTATGAGATGCTCGGAGTTTTAGATGGGTATCTGAGTATTTACACCGATCTACTGGTGAAGGGTAGGCATGGGTAGCATCCAATATATGTATTTTTTGGCAGTAACTGGGTGATGTTGATAAAAATTGATAAATAGCTAAGAACTATTTGATAAGCCCTGATCATGACGATGGTGGCGACGTATGGGAATCAACATTCGAGGGCTTGAAAGATCGACACAGGGCGCGAGTCCGCTGGAGCAGTATCCAATGTTGAATTTTGGGGATGGGTCAAAAGCTACGTATTATTATGATGTATTTGCGGGAATCAACATCCATTAGCCAGATGGTTTAGGGATGTTTAGGGTACGCAGAGTGCCAGGGTGTTGATCCATGAGCCTTGGGATGCCCATCCGTTTGATCAGCCTGGTGGTCTTAGGTCCTCACATCCTGAGGAACCCCCATAGCTGGATTGTTGTTGTTGTTTTTTTAATGGACCAATCCTATTAGAATGGATGATAAATGGGGTACCCCATCATTTTAGGAAACCTCCATATCCTGAGGCATCATGGGTTATGTACTTTCTTGGGCCCTGGCTCGGGAGTCTCCCGCATCAGCTCGCAGCGAAGATTGAAGCCAATGACTATGGGTTATAGCATCATCCATTTAATGACTGGACAGACTGGGGAAACTAAACTAAGCCCGCACACATAACTCAGTTACTAAATAGGGTGATACTCCAAGAGAGGAGTTAATGGCAGTTATATGTACATATATGTACTGTATGTCAGGCGAAGGAATTTTTAGATTGGACCCCAATTTTGAGACCTGGGGATCTCCCAGTGAGGTGACTAAACATGTTGTTTTCTGAATTCACCCGGTGACTTCCGGGAGTTGGATCCTGTTGGATCCATACCACTGAGATCCAGGTGTTGCATTTGGATGAGCCAGAAATTTTCTTTGCTGGAGATATCCCCTTGATCAACGAACGGCCTATGGATAGCTAAATTCTGATTCCCCAAGAATTTCAAGATTCTTGTTGTTTCATTCCCATTTCTTATTGGTCAAGAGTCAAGACCCTCACTATATATGTTGATTTTATCATCCCAAGACCAGTGCCTGTCCCCGCCGGGGCGGAAGCTGAACGATTGCATGGCTGACTTGATAAGTGATCCATAACGCGTGAGATACGGACTACCGACTCAAGGGCAGAATGACGAATGAGCCTTCCTCCTCTGGGCAACTTCTTCTCTCAGCCCTGATTCTCTTGGCCAAATCTTCCCTGAAGCAGCTCTTCGCCACCTCTCCTGACACATCGTTTTCCCAGGGCCAAGTCCCGTCTGGGCAACTTTTATGCTGAGCTTCTTCCCTGAGATATCTCTTCTTTTGGCCGCATCTTCTCTGAGCTGGCTCTTCTCCGAGTTACTTCTTCCGTTAAGCAACGCTTCTCTGCGCTACCTCTAGAAACCCCAGCTACTCTGAGGCGCCTCTTCTTTGCAGCTGTCTTTCTGTTCGCGCAGCACCTCAGCTAGAATCTACAGTCTACACTCCACACTATTCCACACTATACAGTTCCCAGTCCCCACTCCGTATTTAATACGTACTCCACCCTCTACGCTCCACACCTTACACCCTACTCTTTCCACTCCAGACTCTATACTTTACACTCTACACACTACACTCCCCACTCAACACTCCACTGTTTATACGCTACGGTAACAGGGGAAGAATATACAAGACTCAGACGGTTGAAATATAACTTGTTTCGCTTAAAAGTTGTTTACGTAATTGCGTTTGGGTTCGTGGGTTGTTTTTTTTTAAACTTATTAATTGCTTTCCATTGAGAGTATTACAGAAACCGCCAGCGCTACAGTCTGGTGCCTTTTTTCCAGACAGATTTCCCAGTGCTGCACAGCAGCGGAAAGACAGACCCTTTTTTGGCGACCGCTCCAGCGGCGAAACTTGCAAAAACACCGGGGGGTTTGGAGCACTTCCTTTCTGACCCAGCAGACTCATGTTACCGTAGTATACCGTGATTCATAGAGTTTCTACTACTTCCTGTGTCAACTTGCCAACTGTTGATGCTGCCTGCGCGGTTTATCGCGGTTGAATTGGTGATCTGAAAACTATAGCCATTGGCCTTTGTCCGTAACTTGCAAGTTTCTCAACCAAACTTCCTTTGGGCGAAATGGCTAACGTGCTACCCAAGATGATTTTCTATGACCTCCCCAACCAATTTAATTGTGGCTATTGCTACCATAGTTCACCCGTGGATAAGCCACCCTTTTGATTCGCATTTGTGACTGCAAAAAGACCCATTGATTTAGATTGGCTCTCCACTCAGGATCAGTGTAAAGAACACCTTTCTCGAGTTCCATGAAGTACAGGCCAAGCGAAGCTGTCAACAACTTGGATGCTCTCTACCATCCTGGTTTCTCACACCTTTCCATGGTATTTTTAGGGGGTTAGTTACGTTACCTTTTTTTAGGGGGACCTTGAACTAAACATCCAACATGTTTGAAAAATGCCAAGTTCGTATTAATTAAGAACATTTAATAGCCTTCCCCTAGAAGGTAAGAGTCCCCCCCAATTAAATACTAGGGCTTGTCATACATGAAAATACAACCAACCTGCCTGACAAGGCTCGAGATTTCTCTTTTCAGTGGCAACCTCCCAATGGGGTGAGATGGTGAGATTGGGCATGGGACATCGCTTCAAAACATTACTTTTTCAATCATTAAAGCAATTAAAACCATTAAAACATAATATATCCTGACTACCACAAAATTAGGATTTCTGAGCAGGGTGTTGTTTAATAGGGGGGTCGCACATGTTGATTAATAAATTTAATAGGGACCAAAGTAGTATTGCCAAACATTGTTTGGACTGTGGGTGTTGATTAATTCGGGGGCACTTATTCTTATATGAACTTGACCAAATACGATGACTTCTGCAGATCGGAGCATTGCTGGAACCGGGATCTGGCACCCAAGATGAGTCTTAAGCAGGTCCAAGCCCAAGTAGTCAACACTCCAGGTGAAAAAAGTTGCGGTATACCCCAGTTATACCCTGGGCTAAACAAACATAGATGTGGAAAACCCAGGGTCTCCCTCAGAAAAAAACACACTACAAATGGCGGGTTTTCCACATTTACCTTATTTCACCAGAGGGAAACTGGATGATCACAGTATTGCCCAGTTTCTGTGAATTAATTTACCCAGAACTATGGATTGTTGCTACTTTTCTTTAATTGGCCACTTCAGAAAGTGCTGACTCTTGGTTGATTAGAATCTAATGCATGCATATTTTTATGTGTGGTTTAAGAGGTTTTCCTGTGAAAATGCGGCTGTTGGTCTGGCGACACCAGTAACAACCCTGGGATTAATAAACCCCAAACGGCTGTTGAACTGGGGGGGACCATTTCAGTATCATATTGTCACTATTTGGAGGCTACCCCATTATTAATAAACCATGGCACCATGGTCTATTGATCCGGGGTTGACATGATATTTTTAGAGGGATGCCTTTTTTCAATGGGGGTCTGGGCGGTCTGGGGTTGGATCGAGATTATTTAGGCACCCAAAACAAACATGAATTTACCTGACACCATTCGTTTCTGTTTGCTTGGGATTCTAGGTGGGTAGAATTTTGAGTGTGGAGGACCTGCCATTGAAAATCGGATCCCTATCCAGACTTTACATATCTGATTACATTGAGCTTGTATTCCCCTGTACACATCTGTACACCACATTGACGATCATACTAACGGCATGTAAGAACTTGTATATAATAGCTATGTTTCAAAGTTTGTTCGCAAGATTGCCTGGAAAGTAGACTCGTAGGGCAATGTCCATTCAGTACATGGGTGAACATTGTACCCAGCTCGGATTATACATAGCATAGCCCATTTGCTGCGTATCTAAGCCTGGCCATGAAGATTCTGCCTGTTTCATAAATCGACATGACTGAATTGTTTGTTCCCATTTCGGACCATGATTTAACGATGTTCCAAACTCTACAGGGTGAAACATTGGCACCCAGATGGACTTTGGTTTGGTTAAATAGTCGAGTAAAGTTGTTTGCGGTGAGTTGGCGCTTTTTGACAGCAGAACAGGACACACTTTTCTATGACTGGTTGGGGGTTTCGTTTTTATCGCTTTTTCAACCGCAGAAAACGGAGGGTTTTTCGATGACTTTCGCATATTTTTGGGCTTAAACATGTGCATCCATATGGATAATCTGGCCCTGATCAAACGTGGCTGGAAAATCCTGTTTGGTCTGGGAACAGCCGCTTTAGGAGGAGCCCCTCTCGATGCGCAAGAGTCAGTCCTGCGGCTCCATCAAACTGGGTTCAGGACTCTCGAACGTCCCAAGTACGGTCGAGGATTGCCAGGCGCTGGCTTTGAAGTCATGCGGAGGCCTTCCCAAAAACCCTGAAGCACATGGAAAAATCAAAGGAAGTGCCTAAAGCATCCCAAAGCCTAAACACCTAAACCCTAATTCTTTGACCTTAAAACCTTAAAAATCTTAAACGTTGTGCTGGGCGAAATGAAGGGCCTCCAAGCATTGTATTTGAGGTAAACTGCCCCCCCAAGAATGCTATAGCCACTTGGGTCTGTCAATGGGGGAAGCCTCCAAAATTCCAGCTTGACTTTGGACACTTATGACAAACCATCTAATTTTGAACCCAATTTCAGACAAATCCATATATACCGTATATATAATTATATATATAATACACTATAATACACATAACCCAAAAGTCAGTGATATGAGATGGTGACACACACACAAATACATAATTATTGAAACGGGGATGTAAACCTGCTGAAACCGTGATATAACATACTTAATAATCCATATCTGGTTTATATCGTGGGTGTAGCGATATTGGAAGGATCATCCCAGTGAAAGTGTTGATAAGTTCCCAGTGAAAGGTGGGCAAGTCACACCAGTGCTTTGTTTCACGAAAGTTCCCAGAGTCATATCTGGTAAACATACAAAAAGCTAGTGAAAATGGTCATTTATAGTTGATTTACCCATTAAAATGAGTGATTTTCTATACGTAGCTATGTTTGTTTACCAGAGGATAAACATCATTGAAAACTGCTTGTAGTTCTCATTTTCATGAAGTGATTTTTCGTGATCGGTCTATGTAGGGCTGACCCTCAAACTTGCATGCGGAAACACACTAAATCTTTGCCATGCTTGTGCAAGCAATTTGGGAATCTATGTGGGCCTGGGAAACACCCTGTGATTCGTAAATTGCCTTTTGAATCTTTTGAGCTGTGCAATCCACTTTAACCAACAACATCGAACAACATTCTGATGAACCCTTGACATGGACGTGAATTTGCGGAGTGGTTTATCTGAGTCGAGTGGGTCGTCCTAATGCACAGAAGGAGTCTGAAAAACCCCTTCCCCATCAGAATAGCTAACCATCTGAATAGTTTACGCTAGTCCATCCCTGTCCTGGAGATGTGCATTTTCTGTTGCCAAATCTTACCAGCTGATCTGCTCAAGCCATGCTTGGTGGATTTCACGGCAGTGCACTTCACCCATTCCCACTATGATTCCCCACCTTTCATGGTTTGAAACGCTTGTCTTTTCAGAACACAACAGCCCAAGTAGCGTTCTTTGCCGCATCCTCTGTTTCGTTCCATGGGTCCTGGCACCCGAGCTCCGCAGGCATCGGAAGAAGGGCACCTCCCCCTCGTGGGCCAAGTGGGGGCCTGAAATGGGGAAACCACCATTCCCTCCACTGGCGAATTACCATGACCATTTTCTTATATTTTTCCAATTGCGTTTGAGCTCCATGGGGTGCTTTTCGTGGCAGTTGTTCTTGACCAATTCATCATCATCATCATCATCATCATCATCATCATGATCGTGATTATCAAGATCGTGATCATCATCATCATCATAATCATTGTAATCATCATCAGCATGATCGTCATCAGCATCATCATGATTGTGATCATCATGATTGTGATCATCATCATCATCATCACCATCATCAGAATCATCATCACCCTCTTCATCTTCATCTTCATCATCATCGTCTTCTGCATCATCAGAATATTGAACATATTCTTCTTATTTTTCTTCTTCTTTCTCTCCTTCTGCATCTTAATCTTCATCTTAATATTCATCTTTATCTTCATCTTTATCATCTTTATCATCATCATCATCATTATCATTATCATCTTCATCTTCATCATTATCGTCGCCATAATCTTCCTTCTTCTTCATCTTTACCTTCATCTTCATCTTTATCTTTTTCTTCATCTTTATCATCGTCACCATCGTAATTACAGTACATCAATCTCATCATCACCACATTTCTTCATCGCCACCACTATCGCCATTATCACAACTTTCGCCATTAGCACCATCACCGCTATCATCACGTTTTTATAATTATCATCCTTGTTTTCGTCCATCAGTTCAACATCACCATTCTTGTCATCGTGCATCGCCATCATCTCCATCATCGTCCTCATCGTCATCATTGTCCTCCTCCTCGTCATCACCATCATCATCACCATCATCATCATCACCATCATCATCATCATCATCATATTCATCATCATATTCATCATCATCATCATCATATTCATCATCATATTCATCATCATGTCCATCTATCATTTGCAATCTTGCAACTTTCATCTTCATGTTTATCTTCATCATTGTTGCCAGCAGGATCACTTCAGATTTTCTTTTCTTCAGGGAAAAGTTCTCAGCAACCATTTCACCAACCAATCCGACCCCTCGTCCTTCTCCGCTTGCACGTGAAGTTTTTAGGCCTACTATAGTTCTTATTGATTAATGTCAACCCTGGATGAATGTTAACCTCAAGTGGCTGTTGAATTGTGGCAGCTACCATTCAAAGTACCATGGTTGATTGAGCCGGAGTTGATATTGTTCTATGTTTTGTTGTAATGTACTGTATTTACTCTTCATAGTTATCAGTTAACCTATCAAAACGCACATGGTATATACATACCAATGTAAACTGATATATATATATATACACATCCAGACCATATGTACATAACCAAATCATTTGCACGTTGGACGATCCGTATCAAACTAAACATATCTAAACACAGTATAACCCCCGAATGTAACCCTTGTGAAACTGCAGGGCTCTGATCCCAATAAAGACTGTTTGGGATGGTGACTATTTTTGGGTTTACCATAGTATGAACCTTTCATTGTCAGTTACTTATGATCCACTATGAACCATTATTGACCATTCTTACTGACCGCCGGCTGGAGGATGCGGAGATTTGCAACGTCAAAGAGTGCAAGCCTTGCGTCTACTTCATGAGTCAGCATGGATGCGATCGTTCGCCTTGTGGCTTCTGCCATTTGCAGCATGCTAGCTCCAAGACGCGGCGACCGCGCAAGAAGCAAAGGGACAGCTTCAAAGCATGATCCGCAGCGCCTTTCAATTGGAGGTGGGCTGAGCTGTGCCGGTTGGTGACTTAGTTACTGGCTAGCCTCCGGTGTCATGAAATGTTGCTGGACAATCCACCTTAGATAGTTTTACCTCGACTTTTTTCCCAGTTAAAACCTTCGTTTATGTAGGGAATCTTCAAGTGCCATGTTTGATTGCCACAGGGTAATCTAGCTCGGAAGTTTTCTATTTAAAATTCCTTTGCTTATGTATTAAAATTGATGCAACCGATTGTTATCAATGCTCCCTTTTTAAGCGCGTAACTATAATATTTCACTGACCGGGGAAACGAACTATATTGCAATGATCATTCCTACTAACCGTCATCTATGGTGAGGACGCTTTTTGAGGTCGTTATAATTTACCCAGAGCCCTCAACTAAACTACTGTCCAATTCCGCAGGAGTCACAGCGACGTCTGGTACTCCAAGCCATGGCATCCCAGGAGAAATACGTGCGTTCGGTGATCATTGGGCATTTGGATGACATGGATGAGGCGTCACTTGGATAAAAAATCATGGGGGTTTATGTGGGGTTTAAACCACGGGGGTTTGAACCATGGGATTTTTGAAGTTTATGGGGATTTATGGGATTTAACCATTGGATTTTCCCACCATCTACTAGTGTGGGTGCTGGCCGAGGTTACTCTTAGACTCTTATGGCTGTAACGGCTGTAACCATGAAAATTCAAACCCCATGTTTGTTGGGATATAACTGATATGGGGATCCCTATAGAACTTTGGGATACCTTAGATGGTTCAAACTCTGGGAATGAAGAGACCGTCAACAAACAGAAGTTTTCTAGATGATTCAAGCCATAGAAATGCTTCCCAATCAGATTCGGCGAAGCTGACTTGGACCATTTTTGTATGTCCTCCAGGATACCCGCCTTGGTATCCCTGGCCTCCAAGGATTGAAGACTGATGGACGTGTCACATGTCCCTGAGTGATGGGAAACTCCAGTGGGTTTGACTGATAATAAACTTCCCCGACGTTTCGGTTTGCTCCAACCCATGATACTCGAATGTGAATCATAGCCACACTGGGGGTAAATGCGTCATTTTATAATTTTTTCTAGCTCTTCATTTATCCCCCCCTTGTATCTGTGGCCGTTGGAGCCCGATCGGTATACCAAATTCTGTTGCGATCGCCCCTTCGCTGATCCATGGGGATTTTCAAGACCAGAGTTGAAGCTTCGGGCGCTCGGATCCTTTGAAAATGGCGTAGCTTGCAGCTTTAGGGATGGTTTTGTTAGAAACGGATTCTATTCCACTAGATTCCATTGGATTCAAGCTTCGGAATGAGTGTAATTGCCCAGACTTGGGAGTTCATCCACCGGGAGTAGGAAGCCGGTCAATCCGATGGGCTTTCCGACTCTTGCTAGCAAGGGGTTGAATGTGAAGACTTCAAACATCTTCAAACTTCAAACCACAGTAAAGACCATAGATAACCAACAATATTGGATAAGCCATAGACAAGAACCATAGATGGTTTCATGATGCCAGAACATTGTGAAGGAGTTTGTGAAAGTTTTGGTTCCCTTTGATAACTCAGGGCTTGGTTTCTCTTCCTCCCCTGCTTTCATCCGCCAGCAAACTTGGCGAAACGGTGTAAATAGGTAGAGCTGAAAGCGCCACATGCCAGGCAGTAAAAGCAAACTTCAGGTGGGTATGCCCAATATACTAGATGTATATATGAATATCCACCTATCTATATATATATACATATTCATCATAACATGCATATGTATATATATATAGACATGTATGAATATGTACATGTTATATGTATATATAGATATATAGGTCTAAATCTTTTAACATATATGCGAAACATTAATTTTCATGCTATATATATATGTACATATTGGTTTTGGAACATATTAATTTCCACACATATATATATACACGCAAATATTAATACATATTATGTAAAAATGAAAATATATGTAACCAAAGGAAGTTTAGTTGTCTGAACTCACTTATACGAATAATATGGTCAAGATAAAAAAGGAATGTGAATAGAATAGGGATGTGAAGAGAGTAGAGATGTGCAGAGAGTAGAGAAGTGAAGAGAGTAGAGACATGAAGAGAGTAGGGATGTAAAGCGGGTAGAGAGGTGAAGAGAGTAGGGACGTGAAGAGAGTAGAGATATGCAGAGGTAGAAAAGTGAAGAGAGTAGAGATGTAAAGAGCGTAGAGATGTGCAGGGAGTAGAGAAGTGAAGAGAGTAGGGATGTGCGGAGAGTAGAGATGTGCGGAAGGTAGAGATGTGCAGAGAGTATAGAAGTGAAGAGAGTAGAGATGTGAAGAGAGTAGGGATGTGAAGAGAGTAGGGGTGTGAAGAGAGTGGGGATGTGCAGAGAGCAGAGAAGTGAAGAGAGTAGAGAAGTGAAGAGAGTAGAGATATGAAGAGAGTAGGGATGTCAAGAGAGTAGAGGTGTGCAAAGAGTAGAGAAGTGAAGAAGAGTAGGGATGTGAAGAGAGCAGAGATGTAAAGAGCGTAGGGATGTGCAGAGAGTAGAGAAGTGCAGAGAGTAGAGAAGTGCAGCGAGTAAAGATGTGCTGAAGGTAGAGATGTGCAGAGAGTATAGAAATGAAGAGAGTAGGGATGTGAAGGGAGTAGGGATGTGAACAGAGTAGAGACGTGCAGAGAGTAGAGAAGTGAAGAGAGTAGAGATATGAAGAAAGTAGAGAAGTGCAGAGAGTAGAGATATGAAGAGAGTAGGGATGTGAACAGAGTAGAGACGTGCAGAGAGTAGAGAAGTGAAAAGAGTAGAGATATGGAGAGAGTAGGGATGTGAAGAGAGTAGAGATGTGAAGAGAGGTTCAGGTTTTGACTGCAGATGGAAGTGGCATTGCTTCGTCAAGGTGATGCTTGGAGGGTAGGAATTGCACGAAACCCTGTGTTTTCTCGCACAAAGTGATTCCCGGCGGCGATGTGCAGCTCGCGCTCGGGCGCATCCTACACTAAAAAGTTGAATTCAGAGGTGCAGATCGCACTGTACTGGCTGCTTTCAATGTTTGTGTTTGCAGTCTTGGCTGACACAGTTCTTTTGTGAGTTGCAAGGCGGTGATCGCAGCTGGCAGTCGAGTTGCTTCTTTGAAGGTTAGGAATCGAACGAAACCTTGTGTTTTTCGCACAAAGTCTCTCCTGGCGTTGATGTGGGGAACCTTGTTTGTGCGACGGGTGCGGCTCGCGCTCGGGCGCATCCTACACTGTAAGTTGAGTTCAGGTGCAATCAGGTTCGGAGGGTGCCATTGTGTGCAGCGGGGAGGGGCTGCACACTGAAACACACAAACAAGCATAAAGAGACACAAAAGGATGCCAAGAAAGTAATGGCATGTCAAAACACACAAGTCCGGAGGAAAGCATGAAGAATGGAAATGAAGAGAAAATCCGTTGTAGGAGAATCTGATCGCGGGAAGTGAAGTGAGTGGGGACATAAAGAAGGTAGGAAAGTGAAGAGAGTTGGGAAGCGAAGGGAGAGTAGGGAAGTGAAGAAAGTGCGGAGGTGAGGAGAGTCGGAACTTGAAGAGAGTAGGGAAGTGAAGACGGTAGAGAGGTGAAAACAGTAGAGAAGCGAAGGAGAGTAGAGAATTGAAAAAGTCGCGAAGTGAAGAGAGGAGGGAAGTGAAGACAGTAGAGAGGTGGTAGAGATGTGAAGAAGAGTAGGGAATTTAAGAGAGTCGGGAAGTGAAGAGGAGTAGGGAGCTGAAGAGAGTAGGAAAGAGAAGGGAAAAAGGGGTGAAAAGAGTAGGGAAGTGAAGGGAGTAGGGAAAAAAAATGTCAGGAGAGAAGAGTGTGTCAGGTCTCGGGCTCCAGAGCTGTCAGCCGGAAGGCCTGTCAAGATTCAGAGATGACCAGCGAAAGCCAGATCGAGAGAAAGTGGCATCATCAGAAGAGAGCTGAGAGAAAGAAATGTCAGGGAGAAAAAGACGTCCAGACCAACAGACAACAACATGAAAGGCTGTCTTCAGAGATGAAGCAAGCCGGGTCAAGAGAAAATGGCAGCGTCAGACAAGGATGTCGACAGAACAGAAAGGTCAAAAACAAAGAACCCCAAGAGCTGGCGCAGTCAACGGCCCGGACAGCCAGGCGGCCAGGCTTGCCCAGGCTCTACTTGTGTATATGTGATGTGGATTGCCTTGACCATCCTTTGCATTTCAGATTTTTGC